AAATTTCTAGGTGTCATGGTTGATGACAAATTCTCCTGGAAATTTCATATCAGATATGTTCAGCACAAAATAGCAAAAAATATATCGATATTGGCAAGGGTTAGATATATTTTGGACGGGAAAGCACTACACGTTTTGTATTCTTCATTGATTTTACCATACTTAGAGTATGGTGTTGAAAACTGGGGAAACACATACAAACGCTCACTTCAACCATTGTATATATTACAAAAAGAGCGATAAGAATTGTGCATAAGATGGGGTATAGGGATCACACCAATGTAGCTTTCATACAGTCTAAATTGTTACAATTTTTTGATTTAGTGGGATATAAGACTGCTGTGTTTTTGTATAAAGCCAGGAACAATTTATTACCTGGTGGAATTCAAAAACTATTTAATGAAAGGGAAGGGGGATACAATTTAAGGGGTCAGTTAAATTTAAAAATTCATGTTATAGGTACAACCAAAAAAAGATTTTGTATTTCCATAAGTGGGGTAAAACTATGGAATAATTTAAGTGTGGACATAAAAAATAGTAATAGAATTGACGAGTTTAAACATAAATATAAAGGTATGTGTCAATCAAGATATATGCAAGAACAGGCTCAATGATTAATTAGATGGAACATTGTGGGTGTGGTGTATGAATGTTAACACTTTGTAATAATTTTTTAGTATAATACTTGTGTGGGTAGAAGTGAATCATTTACTGCTTGCAAACCAATGATGGTAAGATGATGTCATGGGGTAGGACTGGATAAGTCTGACTTCTTCCTACTCCATTCAAGCATGTACTAGGTATAAGCAAATTGATATTGGATTAGCATTTGTTGGATATGTGTAAAATTATGTGTGTTGACATATCAACTGTCTTTACATGCTTGAAAGAATAAGTCAAATCAAATCAAAATCAAGTTTAAGATCAATAATTTTCTGAGTGATAAAGTGCCTTTAAAGACTGCTTAGGCCGCGTGGATACCGTGCACATACCTTATACATGGTACAGCCCCAGCTACACACTGATACTATATAACTTTAGGTCAGGCTGTGTTCTGAGATGACGATTTCATTCATGACACGCCATGTTAAACATGTGGGAAGACATCTGTCTTGGAAATCTGTGACCAGATTACACACGACCACCACATTTGTCAATATTTCAAGTTTTCATAACAGCGGCAGAGAGACACACACCCGGACCTACCGGACAGCACCTTCTCCGGCTCCTCCCCGGCAGGTGCGGGGGTCAGCAGGGGGGCGGACACGGCGGCGCACCGAGCTAGCGGCTCGGTCCGGTACATTTCCCAGAGCAGGTAGAGGGCGGTGAGCCGCTGCGGGGAGCTGGGCAGCAGGTCCGGCTGCTGGAGGAGCATAACCAGCACCGAGCCCACCCTGAAGTGCTCCACTTTCCCGAAGTACTGATGGAAGAGGGTGGAAAGGCTCTCGAAGGTGTTGGTGCAAGCCTCCTCCGAAATGATGCTTAGCAGGTTGGACAGCTCCTTCGGAGCGAGGGTCATGGTGTCCTCACCTCGGTGTGTTCGTATCTTTGGAGGTCGGCACGATTATAGAACTCGATATTTTCAGTTATTAAAACAACCCCGTAATAAATTACGCGTAATTAATTCATCCTTGAAGAGAACGTGTGAAAAAACACCGTGAAAGTCATAAGGCGAGTTCAAACGCCTGCTGCTCAGTTGTTAGCTTAGCATAGTAGCGCTATCTGACAAAAATCGGCAAAGACTAAAGTGTCCGCCCGACAAAGATCGATTTGATAGCTACATAATAGTCTTACAAAACCAGAAAACACATATAATGCAAAATACAGCACTATGCAGCATTTTCAGAACTGTTAAACACAGGGTTGCTTTTCTAGCAGTGTAAACTCTAATTTGAACCTTTGGAAGCACTGCATCATGGGTAATGTAGTCTTGTGTTTCGTCTTGCGAGGTTCCGTTTCCTTCCCAAAGATCGGACTATTAAACAAAATTACACCTTTACGATAACATATGGTCATGCGGCGCGTTCGGTTTAAATGTAACTGAATCACAAACAATTAAAACACCGCTTTAAAAGGTAAAACTGACGCGAAAATAGCTAACTTGGCTTGGCTCGCTAACAAATTTGCTCCTTTACCCACAAACCCTTGCACCATCTTTAACGTATGTTTTGTTTCAGATAACTTTGTTGACACAAGTGTGTCAGTAGACATACATACTAGAGTTTGTGCAAAATTCATATTGTTCATTTTTATGTGGAAAAAATGAATCAACCCCCTGCACCAAACGATTGTGTCTTACTATATTATCAACCATGGTCTGTTAATGCAACAGCCTCCACTTAGTGTCCACAGGACTTAGTCTGTAACAAATACATTAACACATAAAGCAGATCAGCTTACAAATGCTAAAGAGGGCGACTTAAGATAAAGACCTATATTATCTCATATAATAAGAATTTCCTTTTGATTTAACTTTTGTTTTAATTTCAAATAGTTTGACAATTTTACTTCATCCATATTTAATACACTATTATTTTGTTAGGGCTACAACTAGTGATGAGTTTAACTGTGTGTAAAATATTTTATCAATTGACTGCTAAATCACTTTGTCTATAAAATGGCAAAAAAAATAGAAAAAGGTACTTCCCATAGTCAGAGAGGATTCACTGTGGCGACCCCTAACGGGAAAAGCCGAAAGTGACATTCATTTATAATTTCCCAAAGCTGATCTATTCAAATTTCTTATTTGATCAACAATCCAGAAATGACAAAGAAAAGCATTAAACCACCAGGTGAGCAGCTTTAACCTCTAGAGTCCCTGCGTCCTCATATGAGGACCGCACAGCTTGGGTTTCCAAAGCTCAGGACTCTAGAGGTTAACCCGAAAATGTTTGGAAATGTTGCTTGAAAAATGATTAATACAATGAATCTATCAAAATAGCTGCCCTCTCTCTGTTCATTGACTGATTAATAATCTATTATAGATTCTAATTCTAATCGTGTTCATTGATATAGTTTTCACACAATTAAAATAATTTACCACTATATGCATATTTTTTGAATATCACAAAATAAAATGTAAAAAGAATGAACATGGGGTAGCTGTAGAGCAAATCTATTTCTGTCCAAAGCATGAATCATGTTAGCACTAACGCTGCACTGTATGTAGAAGTTACTCTCTTGACAAAATGTCTCATTCACACTGAAGACATAAGACAGTAACACAGCTGGGCTGTTAAAACATTTACTTATAACTACTGTAATTTCACTTCTCATCATTCTTCCAAAAGAGCCGTGTTTTGCAGAGAGCGTCTCCAGACGTCACGTTCTACCAGGAAGCTGCTGCAGACCGAGGCGCCGTAGAGACAGGTGTTCTCACAGCTCTGAGCCTCTGGCTACAATATCAGGAGTGAACTTTTTAATGTCAAGAACCCGATGAGCTGTCATATATGCTTGAGTCATAGTTTAAGGTGGAGATAAAAGACTGGGATGCAATGTATGAAGCCATTAACAGTAAAATTTTGGTCTTAAATGTGCTAAAATTTAAAGAAAACTGTTTGGTCCCATTTTTAGAATCAAGAAAAGGCTGAATGCACTAATAGTCCTAAATGTTAAGACTTATTATTCATATTTAGTTAGTTTAGATATCGCAGTCAGGAGTGGGATTAAAAAAAGAAATACAAAAGGTCAACATTCAAAAAGCCCAGCATGAGTATCAACCATATGGTGGTGAGAATCTGTATTTATAAAAAGACTGAAGTCTGAATTATATTGTCTGAGTTGTGAAATACAAGATTTCTGGTGAAGGCCCTGAATAAAATGCTACACAGTGAGGTCGACCCTCTATCTGTGAGGAAATGGAACAATTAAACATATATTTGGTTCATAGACAGGTACTAAACAGGGCCCCCACTGATGAGTAATATCCTCAGTGACAGAGCAATAAACATCAACATACTGTAATTGTAGGGGAATAGCTTTCATTAAGCCTTTTACTAAGAAGTTTAAGAAGGTTCTTATACGAATGTTCCTGAGAATACAAGTTGCTAGCCCTGAAAACAGAACCAAAGTTTACAAAAATAGCAGTGTCAGATTTCTTTTCCATATAAACTCTACTGTTATTTGGGAGCCTGGAGTCAGACCCAGAATGGAGCTGGTTTTCACAGTTCAACTCTAATGATGAAGGTCTGATGTCTGCAGGGGAACAGGATTAAGCAGGGTCCTGGTAGAAATCAGTCTCAGAGAAGCAGTCTGTAACATTCCACAGATCATCTCAGTCCACACTGTTTAAAAGGATATTGCAGGCAAAACAAAAGCCAGAGTATGTCAAAGTGTTGAAGAGCCAGCACATGAACAGGAAGTCACCTGTTACCTGAGTGTGATTAGTCTGATTCAGACCTCATGAATCACAGAGGGCCGACGCTGTGCTCACTAACAGCTGTTTCCCTGATTGGAGCAGGACTACATTGGGTCAGTTGTCCTCGCTTCCCTGCAGGACCAACACCTCTCATACACACTGTGCTAAAGCCTCGTCAGCTCACCTGCATCTTCCAGGTGCAACTGGCTCCCAGCTGCATCCGCAGATTAAAGCTCTGACTTGAGCTGCATCAACCATAATGTGTCTCATCCATCAGGCTCTCTGTTTGATGTGTCACCATTCCTGTCCCACTATGTTCAGGATTCATACAAAACTGGATGGTAATATTGCCAAACAGGCCTGATAGTCTACAGCCCTGCTGGCACCTATGTGTTTTGTCACAGCAGTTCTCAGAGCTTGAGGTCAACATCAGCATTTAGCAGGTGTAATGTGGTGAGATTGTTTCACCAGCCAGCCACGAACATGTTCACCAGTTTATTTTGGCACTAAACAACATCCAGCTGAGGCTGATGGGAGCACCATTAGCTCTGCAGGTTTCTGGTCATAAACCGAAGTATTGGACCTGATGAAGGCGCAAGGCGAAAAGTCAGAGGATCACCATTATTGGAGCTCATCCTGAGGGGACAGTATGTGTGTGTGCATGGCTACAACACATTACCACTAACTTGACATACTCTGGTTTTTGAGGTAACAACACTGTACAACAAGGAAACACTTTCAGGTCCATAGTCAACAAAGGATGGTTTGGCTCATATTGGTTAACACACACGCGCCCACATTCACACTACAACACACTCACATATGGCACAATAACAGCCGCCTCCATCTTAAAGGGCCATTACAACCAAAAACCACTGAACAAAAACATCACGCCCTCCGGCGGCTCAAACAGTGAGAATAAAGCAACTTGGTCGAACTATGAAATGAAAACACTGAAAAAAGATGTCAGTTACATGTCAGGCATGCAGGCAGACACTGTAACCATCAGGTCCAAAGTCTCCAGCAGCTTTTGTCATTCTGGGCTCCTGTTTCCACTTCACTGACAGAAAACATAAGGCTCCTGAGAAAATAAGAAGGTTGAGGGTATCTGTTAAGGCAAAGGTTGGGGGTAAAACAAATCCTACTCATGCAATGAAACCACTCAGGAAGATTGGAAGTGGCCTCACCACTAATCTGATGTTGTGCTCATTTTGGCCATAAATCCAAGGCATCAGCTTACATCAGACATGAACTATCCACAGAGGCTTTTAAATCCCAAAATGAAGAAGCTGCAGCAGAGACTTCAGAGTCCAGTCCCACTGCAGTGCAACAGAAAACTAAGCCCAAACCTAAACAAGACCAGCCAGTCCCTTCCCTCAGTAGGACGAATGAGGAGGATGAAGAGAGGAGACTTGCAGCAGCAATCATTTTAAAACTGGGGAAAAGAAACATAAAAAAGGGACACGGTGACGTGACAGAGGGGGAATCAGGTTGTGATGCCTTAATCTGGGAGTCGGGTGCAAGAGGGATCCAATGACATCTAGAAGCACAGAGCGAACTCTGCAGTTTGTAATAAGACACGACTGAGAGAATCAGCTGGATTTGGCTCTTTTGGGGGGATCTGAAGGGATGAGTTTATTTACAAAGCACTGTCTCTGGTATTAACCAACTGACTGAATAAACACACTTTTCTTCTAAGATTTCGGTTGTGAAACCGTGAGGGACAAACTGGACAGAGGACGATGTATCTAACAGGTCCAACTGAATCCACAGTATCTGCATTTTGTCTGTGGTTTCAGGTTTGAGTTACGACTCCCAGAAGAAAGACTGACTTTATGTGCAAACTAAAGATAAAAAAAATGTGATTTCAAGAAAACTAGCTTATGTCAGGACACTATATACATTTCTTGTAATCCCAATTCATTTAAAATCCTTCTGTAAATAAATGTTTCACCTTCACCTTTCTGTCAAACACTGAAAACCCCTCTCAGTCCTTCAACAAGAGAAGTGCTCTGCAGACTGTGAAACTACAAAGAGCCTCATTTGTAGAAAGGAACAAAAGAACATCTGATGCTCACACTCAGTCACTAGACTCAGATCATACACTCACAATAAAATAGTAGTAAACCTATGACTTTGTTCATCAGCTTTCATGTTCTTGTGCTTGGTTAGTGTGAATCAAAATAAAAACTGGAACTTAACCACTTCCCCTCCTAGTTCTGACACAACAAACAAACAAGACAACAACAAACACTGCTCTTCTCTGTCCTCAGTCGGCGTAGTGCATGATGGACTCGATGTAGTTCCCGGGGAAGAGGCCGGTGGTGGCGCTCATCACTCCTTCGAACCAGCCGTCCTCGTTCTTCTTGACGACGTAGATGATCGCTCCTTCCTGGAACGACAGCTCATCCTCCTTGTCGGCTGTGTAGTCGTAGATGGCTACCACTGGAGGGAGGGTGACAAACAGACCACAGTGTTAATCACCTTTATTTGCGCAAGTATGTTACACAAGGAATTTGTTTCCGGTACAGAACCTGAAGCTCGCACAAACTTTCTTACTGCCGGAGACTATCGCGGTCCAGTCGAAGTGGTGCAGGCCATTTCATTTGAAGCTGCTGAGCTAACCACTAACACGCTAAGCCAGGGGTTTTCAACCAGTGGTCCGCAGCCCCCTGGTGGTCCCTGATCATATATTCAATAATGTTGTGCCACTGTGGAAAACACAATTTTTAATATTATTTTTAAACATATTTCCATGTAATTTTATTATTTTCTGAATAATCCAATTTATGCAAATATACTGCTCAAAAAAATAAAGGGAACACAACATAAGACATCCTATATCTGAATGAATGAAATATTCTTATTAAATACCTTGTTCATTACATAGTTGAATGTCTTATTTTCCCTTGTGTTCCCTTTATTTTTTTGAGCAGTGTATATAAAACTAAGCAAGGCTCTACAAAGCCAGGTTGACTTTAAAGAGAGGCCATCCTGTCTATGCACCACACAATGGTGGTGCTCAGCTTGCTTCTTAGTCACAACGGTGGTCCCTGGGTCACAAGCTGTTGCTCTACTAGTGCTGGAGCATTTTGTTCTCACCATGTTGATCATTTTGGCAGTTAGCCTGGGTGCTAATAAGAGAGGAGGTTCAGAGTTTATTTTAAAAATGTAGATTAAACAGATGAAAAAATTAATCTCTCACTTTTTTGGTAACTTTTCAAGTGACATTTGATGGTTTCATGTTCTGAAATGTCAGAAATGATCTTGTTCTTATAGTTCAAAATATTCTGGAGTTTTGTACTGTAGATCAACCCGAATTTGCACAACATGTGATCAGATCTGCAGATCACAGCGATTACACTGGAATGGGCTGATTTGGTCATTTTAAACGAACAACCTCTGGTAAAACAAAGCTGAAACTGACATTGGTGTTATTTCGTAACAAAATGCATTAAACACCAAGTTAATTCAAGCCTAGAGAGCTCTGCTGGATTGGCTCAGTTCATTTTTGTTAAAGCTAAACACCAATTAAACTGTGTGAACAAAGAGCATGCATGCAACAAAAAAAATACCAAATAACTGAACCCACTTCCAACCTGCAGAGACACAGGAGAAATTACAATAAACGTGATGCATTGACACCAGACTTTATTAAAATAATTCAGTAAAGTTATTAATGTTTCGGTGACTCTTTACCCTGAATTGTGTCTGTCAGGCTACTAACACCTGGTTAGTTTGAGGTCATCCATGTGATATGTATCCCTCCCCGAGAATTTAAGGAGCTCATCACAGCCAGATAATGAATTAAACTAAATGCAGACAGAGGCAGAGACCCACAAGAGTCTCAGAGAACTGTATCACTTCAGTATTACTGTATGATGCAGATGACTCTGCTGTGTTTTCCTGTTAAACACCTTTCTCCAGGTAGTTTCTGGGGGCCCATGGAGGGTCTTCTTCAGCGTAGGGATCGCTGTACTCCACTACTCCTGAGTCCTCCTCCTCATGTCCATCCTCCAGTGGCTGCGGAGTGGGCGGGGGCTCCTTGGGCCCTGACTGACTCTCGGGAGCCATGTGAGGGGGAGGAGGGGCGTCTGAAAATGAAAGAACAGATATGAATAAGTGAAGGGCCATGTTCAGAAGCACACACAGTTGGACACAAAGCAGAGATCATCAGTGATTTTACAACCATGCAATGAGTGACATTCATTGATGTGAAGCACCTGAAACCAGGACCGCTCTGGACCTGCAGTCCAAGTCCAAGCTGCACCAGAACGAGACATCAGAGCTGTGAACGTGTGCAGCAGCAATCAGCATGTTAATTACTGATGCTCATATTCATTGTGTGAGGAGGCTTCTGTGCTTTCAGTTGAACCTGATGCTGATGTCATCTCTCCCTAACTATCAAGCTAACGTTTCCTAGCCTCCTTTAGCATTATGTAATATTCGGGTACAAACGCCTCTTTGGTGTCCCATTTTAAACTAAGCTCTGGCCCAGTTCCACCAGGTGCTTCACATCGACAACAGCTTACACACTTTGTTTACATCAATAACAGAGAGCCTAGAATAAAAAGATAATGGAAGTCAGTGGTGAAAACATTTTCATTCCGATGTCTCCGTCAGTGTTTCACGATAAGATTTTATTCGGTAAACGGCACACAGACACAAATGTAGGTAAATCCAGACCCATGTTTTAAAAAAAGGGATGACAGTGACCATTTGAAACGACACACACAAAACCTGCAAGCACATTTATACTTACTGGACTCCTGAACTCGAGCCACAAAACCCATCAGAGGAAGCTGAGGAGTGAACTGGAGCAGAGAGGGGGGCGGTGGAGAGGCTGCAAACACACACAGGTCAGAGCCTACAACATAATCAGCCTTTTCTTCCATTAACAATCAGAGTAAGAGTTTTAGTATGAAAAGTCTCATGTAAACACTCCAGCCAAACAGATTTTCTGTAGATTCTGTCCATTTCCAAACATTTGACACTGTGTAAATAGTAAAACCAAATGTCTGCATATTGTCACTGTCAAACCCAAAGCACACAACTCAGAGTACAAACATGACCACAACCAGGAGGCGCTCCATCTGGTTTTAATGCAGGCATCACAAACCTGGGCTTTGGTTGTACTGGGGACCCCCGTTGACCTGGTTATGTGTTCCGACTGGCTGAGCGGACACAGAGGGGGGGCGGCGGTATGGCAGTGACCCCCCGACCTGTGGAGCCTGCTGTCGAGGCTGAGGCCGGTTCATGCTGTAGAACTGAGGGACGAAGGGCCCTGGCACAGCACAGAGGGCCCAGGTAAGACAACACTCAATGACAACGTGCAAAAGCGTGAGGGGGAATTTTTCACTGTTTTTATAGTGACATAAGCAGAAAATAGAGCTGAGGCTGATGGATGTCACTAGTTTTACAGGTGTTTGGTCATAAAGCAAAAGCTCTAGCCTACACTTTATAACAGTATGATAACATCATCTGTGAAATGATATTTGTTGCTTGGTTTTCTTCCACTGAAACACCCAAAAGCAGCCCAAGCTCTGCTGCTTCCTACTGTTTAAACTGAGCCCCGCTGTAACAGGGGGGCAGCAGAAACACACACCAGGAGAGGAATGACACATCTACATGCTCGTATGATCACATTCAACACATGTGAATGGTCTGTAAAACTGTGTGGAGCCTCTTCCTCAGAGGATTTCCTTTCTCAGCTTATAAAAGGAAGATGCAGGGGAGAGATGATGAGAGGAGACAGATGATGTAGGCAGTGAAGCTGGAGAAACTCACCTTCAGCAGGTGATGAAGAGGAGGAGGAGGAGGAAGGAGGAAAGTGAGGAAACAGTTCTCCAGGCAAGACACCTGAATGGACCTCGGCCATGCCAGGGGTAGGGTTAGAGGGTGGGGAGGTGCTGGGGGGAGTGCTTGATTGCAAGTTTGGTTGAACAGATGAGTCAGAGTGCTGTGAAGGTGAGTTTGGGGGCAAGGGTGCATTGGGTTGTGTTAAGGTAGTGGTGGAGGAGGAGGAGGAAGAGAAGGAGGAAGGGGTGGGGGAGGGGGAGGAGTTAGGAGCAGTGGAGGAGGAGCTAGCTGGTCCAGTTGTTGGGGAAACTTCAAGAAGAACAAGAAAACACAAATGGTAAAACCCAATTCTCTTATTTGGTCATTCCTTGATCGAGGATGTCCTGAGACTCAGTGGGACATCACTGAGGATAAGGGGCCGGTTACTGCCCCATCAATGAAAAGGATGCTGTCTCACTAGCCGAGGAACTGAATTACTTTTATTCCCTGGTTTGACAGAGAAAGCACAGAGACCCCTTTTGTCCAAAGACACTGCTCCAACCCTGAACATCGAGGACTTCAGGTCCTGTTTTAAGAACATGAAGCACCTGGACCAGATGTGGGGCGGAGTGGGCATGTACTTAAAGACTGTGCACACCAGCTGGCAGGGGTTTTGACAAATATCTTTACCTTTCCCTTTCATGTGTCTGTGATCATTCCAGTACCGAAACAATCACCCGCTTGAATGACGACAGGCCTGTGGCACTCGCTTCATTACTGCCTTGAAGGGCTGGTCATGAAACATAGTAAAAGTATTATTTCAGCCACCTTCAATCTCCATCAGCTTGCTTATAGCAAGAACAGGCTGACTGATGATGAGCTTATCTAGCTTATCACACTGTAGCATAGGAACATCTACCATTTTCACTGACTTCATGGCACACAATAGAATCCTGACCAACAAACTGATTCTCAAACTGCATGACCTGGGCCTTGACATGTCAACATGTAACCGGTTACTGGTCTTCTTACACAACACAGCAGCAGAAACTCCAACTGTCCGAACACAAACCTAACGTTATCACCTCCATTTACTGCAGCACCATTGGATTAGACTGACTCAGTTTGAGGCAAGTGTACCTAATACACTGACCACTGAGTGTATGTGTCCTGTAGACATGTTCATGTGGGTTACCTGGGAAGGTGGAGGGTGGGGAGGGCGTGGGCACAGCGATGGGAATGCCCACGCAGCCGCTGCCACTGTTCTCCCTGCTGCTGCTGCGACTGCTGCCGCTGGGGTGGCTGCCTCCACTGCTGCCACTGCACACACACCGGGAAACCACTCCACTCAGTATTTATACTTCCCTATGTATGCATGAACTTTCCCAGCTGGACAACTCAGTGTGTTTACATATGTATATATCCATTTGACTGAGTGAAGGACATGGTTACAAGTTACTGTGAATCCACACACTGTACACATGCAGCAGGTGTATAATCAGACTTCTCCGCTAACCCAGACCTTAATCTGGAAGCATGGCTTTCTTATTCTAACTGTATCACTTACATAAACCAGGTTTCTAGTTAACATGACATTTAAGAAATTAGCAGTGGCTTAAGTGCATGTAAACACAATGCCTCTCCTAGTTGGTATAGTAACACTTTACATTGTCACTTAACATTCACAATGAAACATCTCATGAGTGATACTTTGTCAGATGAAACAGACAGGCTGCCTGTAAAGAAACATCAGAATGAAAGCAGAGTGATGGCTGAAGCTCAGAATCTGCAAACAGAGTGAGACAGGCAAAGGTGTTCAATGGATGGAAGGAATCTAGAACAGTCTGTAGCAGAAAACTGCTCAGTGTAAAATTTACAAGCTACACTTTCAGAATATTTGTCTTTTTTCCCTTCCAGAACACCAACCAGCCAAAGTGTCACATGCAAAGGAGTGACAACAAAGATAAAAATGACAGAGTCATCACAAGAAGAGAGTCTGTTAGTTGATGCTGAGAGGATGAGTGTTAGCGCTGTGTGTCCTCTGTTCGATCAGCAGTGATGCTGCAACACAGTGACAACATACGATACCTGGAGTGTGTGGAAATGTACACCTTAATAGAATTAGAAGAAGTTTAAAGTTTTCACAAACTTTTTTAGAGCAGTCAAAGTCTACCATATGCGATTAAGAGAAAAATGCTAATACTATGAGGTATAATGTTGAAGCTGCCAGCCATTTAAGACATCTCTGCTTTTAGTACAGTGAACAGCATCTATTCACATGTTCTTCCTATGAACCAGTAGACGAATAAAAAAATCGTTCACTGATTACAGTAACCATAAAAAATATTGCACCAATATTTCAGACCAAACCAAACAGCCCTGAGCATCACTGCCAGATCCAACCACAGAGGAAACAGCAGCAGAGTTTAGACAGTGAGAAACTAAAGATGTGATGAAGCAATGTTTTCAGCTATGTCATTTTAAAGGTTAAAGGTTCTTTCTTGGCCAGATTCACAGGGTGCATTAACAGTAGGGATGCTTTAGACCACCTGTCCTGGTGTCGCCCATGTGGCACCAAAGATACCAGTTCAATTATTTTTACACATTTTACCAGGAACATCTGCAGATCCTGAACTGCAGGTCTGGGCCTAGCTTCCTTGGTATATTCTGTCCTCTGTGCCAAGAAATGAGCCAAACAAATCTGAAATATGTGTCCTTGCTAAAAGAGATTAGATCAACAGGAAAGGATGCATCAAAGAGTAAAGAGTAGTGTGTCACAGCTCCACCTTCAATACATCTGTCGGTATAGTTTAGGAACTTAAATGAAATTAATCTGAACTGCAGGCTGTGTAAAGGTGTGGTCCCAAACTCTGCCTTTTCAGAAAAGCTCTACAAAGAGACATCTTTTTAAAACAAGAGCAGAGTAGAACACAGTAAAAGTGACTTCCAAGCAGGATGAGCTATGTACAGCTCTACTAGAGCACAGAGAAAAGCTCTGCAGCCCCGTCCTGGCAGCCATGTTTACACCTGGCTACCTGTATGTCCGGGGGCGATGGTTGAGGGTGGCGGTGCGGGCCGGACTTGTAAGCTGCCCATCAGCCATACTGTTTCTGGTGGGGCTGGAGACGTAATCATTGGGCACCACTGGGGGGCGCACTGGCTCAAGTGTCCTGTAGGGGGAGTTCTTCCTGTACATGCAAAAGGTAAGGATGGAAACAGGGTTAATGAGGACATGAGGGTCCCGTAAAGGGAGCTCTTCCTTTACAGCAAGTCCAAACACCTGACAACCTGCAAAAAAACATTGTCAGCTCAGGTTTAAAATAAAGATCTCGGGTCCGGCTGCAGCCACAGTGGCACGACCTTGAACACTGAAGCTCCCGGCATATGTGTAGGCACGTGCCAAACAAAAGGACGACCCAACACAGGGTCACACGTTCTTCCAACAGATGTTCTCTCATGTGATGTTTTGATGACGGTGGTGGAGACGCTGTCTAACATGCCGCTCCAACATCTTCCATAGCTTTTCATCTGGGCTGAGACCTGGTGACTGGGAAGGCCACAGCATCTGATTCACATCATGGTCATCCTCATCAGAGCCCTCATACTCTGTAACCTCCTCTGAAACAATACAAATAATTACATCTATCCCCATTCCCAGCACCATGACATAACAGTGACACATTTTTTTTTCCCTACTGGACTAGTTTTATTATAATTATTACCTATTTAATTTTTCTCTTTTGTCCTTTGCTTGCTTATCTTTATCATAGTATTACTGCAAAGCCAGGGGCTGCACCATCATGCAACCAAATCATACTGTCCAGGCCGTTAAATTTGCCCTTGTCAAAGGAGAACAGAAGAAAAGTATGTTACAGAGAAACTGTGTGTGTGTGTGTGTGTCTACTTTAGCACAAAACAAAAACACATGTGGTTTAATTTCATCACTGTTCCTCTTGTGTTTACTAGACTTTTCCCAGACTGCTGTCAATGCTGTGTCAGTTCGCTGTTATGTCACTGGTCAGTGCTTTGCTGCAGCAGAAGCACAACAGAACTGAAGCCACAGTTTCCTGTGACTTTATGAATCCTTGTTACCCAAGTCTGTTTAAGTCATTTTCATAAATATTAAAATAAATAAATAAATCAAGTCCTTTCTTTAGGCGACCCCTCAGTAGTGTTGAGATCTTTTGTTAATGGGTTTGAGCAGCGCACATCACTTGCATTAAAAATTCCCTTATTAAAAATATTTCAACATTTTAAATGAGCCTATTGAGGTGACTGGTTCAGGAGCCACTGGGGGGCGCCATAGCTCTCAGTTGTCACCAGCCCACAGAGCTGTATATTCCAGTGTAAAGCCCTAAAAATGGTTTAATAAAATGTCACTGGGACAGTCACAGGTTTGAAGGTAGCACAGAACATAAGCACTGCACCACTGACATGTAATCACGTTAATCACTGAGTTTGGGTTGAGCTCTGCCTCCTCCCTGCTTAGGAGAGACAAGGAGACACGTTAAGGTCATTTTTAAAAGTCGGAAGTTAAAGCACAGTAAAACTAGACTGAAGACAAAGTGGAGTCATTTACTGTACATTACAAGTACATTCAGAATCTACACAAAAGATGTTTGTTACTGTAGCAGAAAGAAAAACTTTAACAGCAAAACTACCTAATGATAGTTCCTGTGTTGTGTGACTAAGGCATGTAAACACAAAAACTACAATTAGATACAGAAACAGAACATGGTGTGACGTGTGAGTGCGACTGGGGCGGTGTTGTCGAAGTGTGTGGGTGTGTAATAACAGGAGGACTCGTCCTGTTGACTGCAGCGTGATGCCGACCCACTGCTGTGTGTTTGTCTCGTCCCTGTGTGCACACTCATGTGTGTTTGTGTGCACACAGGCGGACTTGGCTTGGCGACCGCCGCTTCACTTCCTACCAACTGCTGAGCTGCTTCTGTTCACTCTCTCCCACAGAACACGTTCTCATCTCATTCTAGGCATCAGCGCCATCTCTGCTCCTCTTCACTGAAATTTGAATAATGATCCTTTCTGCGGGGGAACAATCGTGACTAGGATTGATCTCTCAGAAACCACCGACATAACATCATCAGGGTTGTAACAATTTAAAGATTCAAAACTGGAATCCTTAAATAAAAAGCTGGACATTCCGGGAGACGTGTTTATTATCTCTGCTGCTGAGAGTCAGCTGTTCAGGCTGATCCACTCTCCTGTGTGCCCATTATTTCTGCACCAGCCGATCTGGGCCTATTTCCACCTGATTTTACAAAACATCCCATGCAATCTGTAAATATGCATAAAATGACTAATGTATTCATGTCCACTGAACAGACATTGAAAACATTTTATAGTTGAATTCAACATTTTATTGGCATGATGTATATTCAGGGTAAAAGCTGTTTATTCTTGTTACTGTTTGTGATTCATAGGCAACAGCTGATGCATTTAAAATGAAATATACAGCTCAAGGTGTGCAAAAAGTTAAGTGGTCTGAACTCTGGACATCATGTTTTAGGCAATGTCCAGAGAGATTTTAATGCACACACGGTGCCCTCAGTTGTAAAGGCAGTGTTATTAATTACAACAGTGGCACATAAAACCTGCTAATATCATTTGTACTTTTTATATTGCTGATAATTTGGTGACCTGCTGTTTGATACAGGCCTTAGATCTAGTTACCACACAGCAGGTGGTCGATCTGAAGGGAAAGCAACAGCACCCTGATTGTAATACCAGTATCTAGTATCACAGAAACCCAGTGAACTGGGTCTGGAGACCCAGTAATAACTAGAAACTGAGTGAAAAGAAGAATGAACTGGAAAAGAAAAGAGGGGGAGAGGGCAGAAAAGAAGGGGAAGGCCCAGCTGACCTAGATGTCAGAGGGGGGAAGAACACAACAGGAGGCTTTTCCTCAGAGTGCTGCTTTCAGCGTGCATCTCTCTGTGTGTGTGGGTGTGTGTGTGTTGTCATCCCCGTGCCGGGTCGAATCTGTAAGTCGCCACAGAGACAACACACACACACACACACACACATACACAATACAGCACATTCACACACAATCAAGTCAGAGCAAAGACCAACACGTGTGTCTGTGAAGGTGAATTTGTCTGCATTAACAATATGCTGTACGACACGGATGTCATCGCACAACAGACAGAAGTCAGTCAACGTCAGAGGACGCTCCCTTACACAGACAGGTGAACGTTAAGGTGAGAAGTGTGCGTGTTGCATACCCTAAGATGCCCTTCCCTGCTCTGGGAGGGCTGGGCGGTTTCTGGGTGGGGGGGCTGGACCGGGACAGACCCCCTCCGAGTTTCACGCTCTGCTGGCCGTTCACCTGTGGAAATACACACAAATGCAGGTAAGTACTAAGTGTGTGTCGGCCAGTAACAGGAAACATGCAGAGACACGTGTATCTGAACCAGCGTCTCCAACACACAGTTCACCCACTAAAGTTTCTTCTTCGCAGGTAAAATGTCCCAGTCAGTGAAGATCTTTTTACTTTGTCGTGTGCATTTTAAAAACCAAACACTGGCTGAAGTCTCTCAGGTTCTGCTTAGTGCTGGTATTCGACCAGTACCAGCTCGGCCCTGTTCACTCACACAGGCTCACATAGCTGAAGCTTGTCTAGCATTAAACATTTACAAACTTATTTTCTGCTCCTGACACACAGTAAAGTTTATCTCCATGCATCGTTTAAGCGCCATAGCACTTTGATAGTTTTATTTACAGTTACAGTATATTTTTTCCCATTTGCTTGACATGCTCTCACAGCAGAAAACAGCTGGGCTTTGGTCTCCTGAGGAAGCAAAGCAAGTGTGAAGGGTTGTTTTGTTTCTGGTCTATCAGATGAAATGTGCAGGAAGCTGAACAGAGCTCAACAGCTGGTGAGTCAGGAATCATGGCGGCCTGCGCCAGGATATTTTCTGTTATGTGTGAATGGTGTAAAGCTGGAATCAATTTGAGGTCTGTCATCAACCTCGGTCAATGCCTTCTAATGTTTTTTCCTTCCTCAGTTACAGATGTGTGTGTAGGTGGGATCCTTACCTTGAACCTTAACAACCACTTAACATGACAGTGAAAGCAGGAGAAAGAGAAGAGGAGAACAGCAGGCCAGAGGTTAGTTTCAGTGCAGCAGCAGCATCATGCAAACATCATCAGTCATTAACAACACAAGGCAGAAAACCCACACAGAGACGAGCTGAATGAAAGATGGGGTCAGAGGGAAGGTGCTTCAGGTTAAAGGTTGTCATAACACAGTCTCTACTGCAGATAGTTAATGCTGCTTGTCCTACACGTGGACGTTTGTCGTTGGACACAGTGAGAGTGAACACACCAAGCAGGTTTACGTCACATCACTCATTCTATCTGTGGCTGCAGGTCTGTCTGTCTTCTCTAGAATACGCCCTCCACTGTCTGAATCGCAGCTCAGATGTTTTACTGTTTATTTTATCATTATTCTCACCTTGACTCCGTGTCCGATGTCATCCAGCATGCTGTAGTCGATGGGCTTCCTGATGTAGCGCACCGGCCTCTCCGGATTGGCTGGAGCGACAACTTTATGCGAGCGGGACACGTTTTTGTTGGTTGTCAAGATGCCGATCTCTCGTCTCGCCACCTTTTCTTTGTGAATGTCAACGGTCTAAAAAGAGAGAGAGAATCTAATGACTCTAGCTTCTGTGCGTGGCTTCAAAAAGGCAAACAGAAATGTTACCCAGCGACCAGATTTATCCTGCCTGAGACATTTTTCCACAATGTTTATGCTATAAATGAAAGAAACAACATCCACCAAGGCCATGTAGCAGGTGATGTAATGGCCTCTGCACGTCCTAGCACAAACTGCTACAGTAAAGTAAGGAGCTCTCAGTTTGCTTCTGTCAGAGAACTCATACGAAGTTGGTGTCAGTGCAAAGTTAGAATGCCGTGGCAAGCGAAAGCTTCAGGTGATCTGATTTGCACTTTGGCAGCCTAAGTCTTCTGCCTGAAGGCAACAATTCTCACTCAAAAGAAAGAGGATGCTGAGGGTCTGCCCTGATTCCAAAGCTTGTTTCATGACTGCTCTCTCATACAGGCTCTGTATAGAGTGCTCCTTCAGTCCTATGACGTTCATGGATGTCCTGTGCATACTTGGCAGTCTACTTTTCAGTTGGTGTGTTGGGTTGCAGGTGTGTGGTCGACAGGAAACGAGAGGGGACCACCAAGATCAGAGGGATTCATCCTCCGGGCAACATCAGTTTCTAAACATGTCTTAACCCCACTGAAGGGTTAATAAGGACTAGTTTTAATGCAAGTTCCAGGGTTACTTTAAACTGTACGTTTCTTTGCCAAATCACCTTTTAACTCACATCTAACACCGACCACATTAGAAGATCGGTGCTCAGTGTGACATCTGTGTAGGAAGATGACTGGGGCTGCATCCAAACAGCACATTCCCTAGTTTCTGAGGACGTTATAAGACCGATCCGCTGTGCAGCGACGTGCTACAACTGTGCCACAGTGACACAGCTCCGACTCCCTCGTCCTCTTTGATAAAAGCTTGTTGTGCCATTTAAGTCAACATTTAACAGTTCTGTCTCACATAAGTCAACATTTAACAGTTCTGTCTCACATAACTGCCTAATTATTATCCAGCCATTGCTTCTTGTGTTAATCACGGTGTCTGCAGATGTTTTGTCTTTCTTATACTATCTAACCAACATGTTGCACACTGCTCTGTGCTCACTGTGGGTATATGAATAAAAACCTGTCCTTCAGTCCTGAATAAGTGTTAACTAGGATTTCTTCCTTGCATTATGAGGAAATGGGTGTCAATGTGTTATATGGGAACTAATAGAACAAAACTGTTGTGTCAGTAACAGTGGGTGAGCGTCGTCAGAACTGTGCTGGGTCTGTCACAGGTCTGACGCTCTCTGGGTTACATGGCCACTTTGTTGGACAGTAGCTGGGACTATAAAGCATCATCTCACTGTGGCTCCCTATGAGCTGAAGCCTCACTACATGAACCACTCGCCTACATAACAGATGTGAACGTCTTGCTGAACAGAAAGTGGTAATTATGATGTGCAGTTGCAGGCCTGGCCTGACGTCACACAGAGCAGCGTCTCATGGTGTTTGCTAGCACAGCATGCTGATGATACGGGTATTCAGAGGTCTGAGGACAGCGGACTCTGTGTGGCACTGACAACTATGGTCTCACAGCCAGTCTGGAATTGGATTGTTGAGTGTTTGAGTGGTCGCCGAATGAAAAAACTGCTTGTCCTACAGGCATGAACGGACGTCAGCCCCAAGCTTACTTTGTATGCATGAGAAAACACTGGGCAGCAGGGTGAGCTGTGTGGGTGCACTGTGCTGTGTAGGCCTGCTTCCCACTCACTACACTGGTGACGCATCACACCCACAGCTGGATTTATTTGTCTGCCAAACATGAAGAGGAGTTCTGTTTCTTCATCTTCACACACCATGCATCTCAATCCATCTATGGAAACTGTTTACGGTCAACTTCCTTTACTGAGCTGATGGTTTAGACACCGTGCAAACGAGGACACTGGTTTTTTTCAGTGGGTAATGGATTATAATCTAACTGCGATTTTTTCCCCCCAACATTGCGATTTAATATGCGATTTTATTAGCTGTTCAATTTCTGTATTAAACTTCAAGCCAAAGACAAGCACTAAGTCATTATATAGTATGACCAACATAATATTAGATTGAACATAAGACCAGGCATGTTATTTGATGAAATTAAATGATGCATTAATTTAAGCGCATATTACACGAGATACTCCGGAAAAAGAGAAAGAAAAGCAAACAGCACACAGGCCCATGCAGCGTTACCGGGTACAAACCCCCTTGATAAAGATGGAAGGAGAACGAGATGTGCTGTTTGTCAAAGTACTGTGGCGACCCTGACCGGCCGCTGATGTTCATGTGTTCTGTTGTGTGCGAATGGGTTTGACAATGTTATTGAAGGCTGTTCATGTATTGGTTATCGCTGTTTTCTGCAAAATGCCACGCTGTTCTGGCCAATGTGGGATGGGGGGAGGAACAGGTGCGGGAGGAGATAAGAGGGATGACAGGTGGGCGTGTTGTTTAGATTCTGTTGGCGCGGAACTTGGTTTGCCCTGAGAGAGTGTCGTTACTGTTTGTCCTGCTTTACTTTTTTTTTTTTCCATTGTTTTTCCTGATGAGCACACGGTGCCAAGTAAACCGCACTTCTGTTGTTGCATTCTCTGTTCTATCTAATAAAATCCAAAAAGACAAAGAAGGTGTTCTCCTCACTGTCAGCATAGGTGCTAGCGCATAGCTGGCTAGTTAGTTGTCCCAGTATAGGACAGGGTCAGACCAACTCCTCTCAACTGAGCTAGCGGTCATCACATTGGTGTCAGAAGTGGGATTAAAACGGCGGTAGAACGGCACCATGGAGAAGAGTCTGGTCGAATTAGAGAGGGAAATTGAGGACAGCACCTTCCAGCTGAGACGGCTGAAAAGACAGTTGCACCCGGACGGTGCGAGTGCGCCACGGCTAGCACGACAGGAGGCGAGCAGCTACCGGGCGGGGCGGCCTGCAGGTATTGCGGCGC